TGCCCWGGAAGGTGTCTGGTGAGCATGATCACAAGGGCAAGAGAACTGGGTGAGAACAACCACCCCGCCTAGTTTCATCCCCCCACTTTCCCTTCAACTCCCACAGACCCAGCCCCACAACAGGGCTGTCTGGTCCACTGATCAGCTCAGCGCCCATGTCAGACATCTGCCCTCGTGGGCTTCCTCATCTCGCCCAGCAGGACAGACCCCGGGGTGTTTTTCCCAGTGCTTTCCCCAGGCCAGTTTTAGACTCTACAAGTAGATCACCTAGGAGATGTTTAGAGTTTGGGGAAATTTTGTATTTTCATTTTGTTTTTAAGGGTTTTTTTTTTCTTTACTTATCCAGATAAATGTGCTCATCATGAGACCCATGTGGCCAGGTGGTCCGTCCTGCCCCTCAGTGACTACCCTGTAGGTCTGTCTGGCCTTTATCACAGGGACCCCTGGTCAGAGGCGATGACGAAGACAAGGCTTTGGCTGGGAAACCTGTATGTTTGGGATCAGTCCAGCCCCAAACACCATCAGGAAGGTCATTCTGCCACCCCTAGCCAAAAGTGTCGGGAAAGAGAGAGAGAGTGGCAGCAAGTCTTAGGGAGACGTTAAGCCCTTGCATTTAAGAGCAGGGTATGACCTCCTTGCAAAGGCCAACTGAGGACGTTCGGGGAAGGCAGTTTTCCGTGGAAATATGGCTGTCCTCAATCTTGGGTGGGCTCTGCGTCACCAAAGGGAAGGAGGTGGTGCTGTGCCACAAATGATGGAGGCCAGGGAGGGMACATGGTGCTCATCCAGGAGTCTCCTGCTGCCCATGCCTTGGTCTGTGCCCGAAGAAATGTTCTCATGATAATGGCCGTTGACCAGTATGAGTTTTAAGGTTGGCTGAGGTTTCTGCTCCTATAATGGAAATGCTATAGTGAGTAGATAGGGCACAGACTGGAGTCACACAATCCAGGGTTTGGACCCAGTCCTTCCTCCTCCTCCTCCTCCTCCTCCTCCTCCTCCTCCTCCTCCTCTTCCTCCTTCTCTTCCTCTTCCTCTTCCTCCTTTTTTCTTTTTCTTTCTTTCTTTCTTTTTCTTTTTTTTTGTCTCTGAGCGTTGGACAACTTCTATAATAGCCTCAATCTGTAAAAAGGTAAAAATTGTGACTACTCATTACTACTAGGAAGATTAACAAACTAATAGATGTGGAAACTCCAGATAACTAACTGGGGAGCTCAATTAGTGGGAAATCCTTCCTCCGTACCCTCTTGAGTGTTCATKGGGAAAAAACAATGAGTTCATTTCAGTCAAAGAAAAGGAGTCCTTGACCTAGAGTCAGGATTCCCGACTTTGGTACCACACCTTACAACACCAGGAGCTCTGCCTGCTTCTTGGGGCTGCTGTGAGGACCAAATAGGGCCCACAACGTGAGGGCTTCTGAAAAGTGCATTTTCACCGGTGACTCTTCTGTTGCTGATTTGTCTAGCTGAAGGAAACAAGTGTTTGRTATAGTAAGTGCACTAACTGCCCACCTGGGGTCAGTCACCTTTCCTTAGTCCCATATGAGCTTCCGGTAGCTGCTATCAAAATAGAATGGCCGCAGTCTTGGTAACTTAACAGCAGCAGTTCCTGCTCTCACAGCTCTGCAGGCCAGAAGTACAAAGCTAGGCATCGATCGGGAGGGCCAGGGTGCCTCCGAAGACTCTAGGGGAGTATCCTTCCCTGCTTCTTCCAGTCTCTGGTGTTCTGAGGTGTTCCTTGGAGTGTAGCTGCACAGACCCAGCCTCCGCCTCTGCCTCCCCATGTGGTCCTCTCCTGTCTCTGTCCCTTTTCTCTCTTTYCTAAAAACACTCTCACTGAATTCTGGCCCCACCCTTACCAAGGGGCAGGATCTCATCTCCATCTTTACCTTAATCACATCGGAAAGACCCTTATTCCAAATAAGCTCCCAGTCCAAGGTTCCAGGTAGACAAGAATTTGAGAGGGGAGACGGTTCAACTCACTACAGGGCCTCAGTCCCTATAGTAAAAACTTCTCTGGCCTCCCTCAGTGTACCAACTTCTTTAGCTTTGGGTCACACTGAACCGTGAATCCCTCAGACTAAGGCCTAGAAGTAGCCCGATGTGGGTCTGCAGAGAGGATCCTGGGGAATGGGGTGGAGTGGCCACATCGTAAGGCTACAGAAGGGTTAATTCTAGAAATGAGAAGAAGGGCAAAATACTCATGAGTGTAAGTGCCCGTTTTGGAAAGAAAAGGGCTTGACCCTTTCTTACACTAGCGCCTGCATTCTAGYAGTCGTGTGATTCAAGGAGACAACATCAGTCTTTGAGTTAGACCCTGATCATTGTTTAATTAATAATAAGAACTCCACCAAAGTGTTTCAAGGATTAGATGACTTGTGTGTGTGTGTATGTGTGCGTGTTGAGGGAGGCAAGGTTTCTGGGACTGAATCCAGAGGTGCTTTATCACTGAGCTTCATTCCCAGTCCTTTATGTTTTTTATTTTGAGACAGGGTCTCACTAAGTTGCTGAGGCTGACCTCAAACTTGTGATCCTCCTGCCTCAGCCTCCCGGGCAGCTGGGATTACAGGTGTGCACCACCATKCCTAGCTAGATCATATTATCTTGAAAGACTACAGCATGGTCTTGTCTCATTTAATGGTCTTTTAAAAAGCCAAAATATATGTGTCTCTTTTTTTTAAGAGAGAGAGAGAGAGGGAGGGAGAGAAAGAGAAATTTTTAATATTTATTTTTTAGTTTTCGGTGGATAAAACATCTTTATTTTTGTGATTTGTATGTGGTGCTAAGGATCAAACCCAGCGTGCTGTGCATGCCAGGCAAGCCCACTACTGCTTGGGCCACATCCCCAGCCCATATATATGTCTTTTAAAAAGCCAAAATATATGTGTATTAACATCATAGGTCACTCTGTCTCAATTGAGTGGTTGTATGTTTTTTGAGATAATGTGTAGGAGAATGAGATACCATATTATTTAGTTGTATTCCAGCTGATATTTTATAAATACACCGAGAGTATGCCACTCACTCCATCACTTGTATTCTCAGTTGTGATAGTAGTGTGCTGGTAAAGAGTTAATAACCAGCTCTCTGAAAAATAATATCTGCACATATATACACACACATTTACGTACATGAAGGATACATAACCGACAATTTACAAAATACAATTTATTGTATTTTATTAAAATGTACAACATCCTCTATTGTAAATTCCATATAGCCAACTGATCCTCACAGAGCTCCTGTATTTCTATGGGCTTAACTAGTATCCATGACCAACCTGTGGTTACAACTGATGAATGCAGTTTCAACGTGAATGTTGGCCAATGTCCTATAAATTAAAGAAACGTGAAGCAACAAAGACATAGGTGGGGGCATCACTTCCTCATCAGTGATGCTAATGACTTTTTGCTGCATCAGATGGAAGTTTTTGAACACTGGAAAAATATTTCCTTCATTTTTAAAATGCCGTTCATTTCACAATGTAATGGGCCACACGTATAAGGTTAATTGTCATCAATTATGTTTTCCCTTTTGCTTTTGTATCTCGAGACAACCAACAAAACACTAAATTAAAGCCCTGATTTACAGTGCTTGTCAATTTCCATGATATTAATTTCCTTCATGGCTGATTATGATGTCATTTAATGCAGAGTTGGTGAGAGAGGTGCAATAGCGACCATGATCTAGTGCATTATTTCCATCATACAGATTTCAAGGGGCATCGATGACATCAAGAGCGTAGAGAACAATGACGTAGTGCAATAATTAGGAAGTAATGAATTTTTGAGGTTTGATTCTCTGTTTTAAGGATATTTAAATAAATATAATTTAATCGTACATTTATGAAATTCGTGTGTGTGTGTGTGTATATGTGTGTGTGTGTGTGTGTGTGTGTGTGTGTGTGTGTGTGTGTGTAAGATACTGGGTATCAAAACCTGTGCATGCTAGACAAGCCCTCTTACTGCTGAATCACATCCCTGGCCTGAAGTCTGTTTTCATAAATGTATATAATTTMATGATGGCCATGTTTGTCAACCAGCTCACAAGATTCTTGAATATTTAACAACTGTCTCTCATGAGTTGGTTTGTACCAGGTCCAACACATTACAGTTGGGTACTGGGGAAGGAGGAGTGGCAGAAATGAAAGAAAAAGAGCYAATTCACCTCCTTCCACAGCTCCGACTACCCTGCCACCCTGGGCAGGCCAATAGAAGTATGCCTGTGGCCTGTTAATATGGATTCTGCTTTCAGAGTCTCTTTGTGAACACCCTCAATAGTACTTTTCAGTGTTCCATTCTGATGGCTGGTCTTTCTTCTGCCGATTCCATCCCTTTCTCCTCAAAAGGGAAAAACCTCCTCAAAGCCCACCAGCATGAGGCTTGCTCAGTTCCACCACGCGGTGCCCACAGGGAAATCTGCTTTCCGCCAGTGATCCACCCTCGCTCTCTGTGACTGAGGTCCCAGGACCCCACTGCAAGTATAGGTATTCCCCCAGATCAGGGAGGAAAACATCACCTCATCAAAGTTCAGTCACGTAARTTCAGGTTTGAACTATCAAATCTGTGGGGTATTCTGGCAAAATTACTCAGGGCTAGGGTACTCTAAGAAGAGTTTACCAGAGAGAGCTGCTCAGAGAAGCTGTGACACTCATTTCCTGGAAACAGTGAAGGGAAAAAAAAAAGAGAGGGGAGCACATTTCAACCCCAAACCAGGGTTTGGCCAAAGTGACTTCACAATCTCTTTCCCRGCTCCAGTAATCAGAGTGCCTGACTTGTACGTGCTTCTCAAGAACGGCACAGTGATATAAAGCCTGCAGAGAGATGAGCAATCCTCGAGAAACAGGCAGAAAAAAGTCCCAGTGAGACAGGAAGTTGCCTGGTTCCTGATGCGTAAACTAGAGAGCAGAGCAGCCCTGTCGGACGCGGAGCCKGTTTCTGCCCTGGCATCTTGAGCAACTGCCGGGCTCCCGGCCAGGCCCCCTTCCTTTGTCCCCCCTAGCTGATGGATACCAAGGGGCTCCTGTCCTTGAGCCTCCTGCTAATTCTGTCCCTGGCTTTTGAGCTGAGCTACGCAACAGGTGAGTGCTGGTCTGTTGGGGGGTTTGRGTCCTGTGAATATCTACCATAACCTGATGGATGGAGAGGAGGCACAGGGGCTGAGTGAGGACTGTGGTTTAGCTGCCTTTTCCTTAGGGATTGGCTCTGGGTTTCAACTGCCTCTTTTTTAAGAGGAAGGAACATTATGAGTTCCTTGGCTCTTGGGTTCCAAGGCTCAGTCGCCACCAATCCTCGTTTCCTCCGAAGCTCTACGTCAAAGGCACCTGTTGGATTCCTAATCACCCTCTGGGGGTAGGAGGCTCAGGTCGAAGTTCTGGTGGAATGGTTGATTYTGTCTGGGTGTCTTTCTGGAAACAACCCAGGCTAGCAGGACTGAGTTAGACAGATGAAGTTCTGGGAGAAGATCTGTCCTACATCCCCATCCTGGGAGGGGACCYTCACAGGCATGAGCAGACAAATCAAAATAGGGTCCAATGAAAAATAAGGWGCAGAGCGGGAAAAGAGAGTAGAAGTGAAAATCCCAAGCCTTTGGCTGGGAACAGATAGTRACCACAGTGTGGTCATACTGGTGGCTACTTCTTGGAAGAGAAGGCTCCAAGGTGGCAAGAGGGGGAGAAGTCAGGATTTCTAGAGCTCAAAGCTGGTTACGGAATGTGGGAAACACTAACCAGGAACCTCAGGGTTAACGTCAAAGGAGTCTCTGCAGTAGGGTAGGGCTGGGCAGCAGAATTTTTGAAGCTGGGCTCTTCTCCAGCCTTTCTGGTTCTCTTACTGCCAAGGCAAGCTACTGTTTTCTGTTTAGTAGAACYAGGGCTATGCGAAAAGATATTTGAGAAAGAGAAAGGCCAGCAGTGGACGTCGATGTGTGAGTGGGGTGAGAGGCTCCCTCTGCCTACGCGCCTTGGGACTTTGGTTAGACCGTGGGAGGCAGCCTGGAGTGGAGCTGGCATTCGGGAAGGGGGGAAATCCTGAGGCCGAGGGTGTTTCAGCTTGGGGTTTCCAAGACCGCAAATCCATTATGGACTTTTCCAGGAAAAGCCCCAAGATACGCCAGGGATGTGGGGGTGCCACGCATGGGATCTTCTCAGATGAAGAAGCCCTTGCTCAGCTGTTTYCCCACCATCCCTGAGAATCAGCAGGCTCGTGGCTCTTCTTTCCTGATGAAGAGGAAGGGAAAGTGGTCTGCAAGAGAGACAAGCCTTTCTGCTTGCACCCCATTTGGAACCCCACCAATTTGGGGCATACTTTTTGGTGGCTGTAGGGAGTAATGGGGCTAAATTGTGGGGTGGATTTTGACGTCTTTGTTCTGCTTGATTCCTGATCAGTCTTGCTCAGGTCAGCTGCTCCCCTTAAGGCTTTGAAGGTCACGGGGGAGTCATTCCCCAAGGGGTGGCTGTTCCGTCCTTGCATTCCATTTTCAGAAATCTGTTCAAAAAATTTGGGGGTGTTTTTATTTTTAAATTCACACCCTTTTGTGAAACCCCAATAAAACCCAGAAGGAAATGGTGTGCAAATGGGATAGGTCAGTCATGAACAGATTTACTCAACCAAGAAGCCTGATTCTTCTAAAATCAGTACCCACTCCCCTCCCCACTTCTATTCAGCTCCATTTCCAATTCCCAGTCCGAATCCTAAAAATTGAAAAAGTCCACATGTTCCCTTCCCTCTACAAAGTGAATTTTCCATTTCCCCCATAAGATTCTTTTAAAAATAATTTTAAAAAAAAGGTTGAAGTTCTGGTGAAATGGTTGATTTGTTGTTTTTTTTTTTAGAGAAGTTTTAGGTTCATAGCAAAATTGAGTGGAAGTTATAGGGTTCTCATGTCCCCCTGCCCCCCATGTATGCATAGCCAACATCCCTCACTAGGGTGGTACATTTGTTATGATTGAGGAACCTACCCCAATGAGATTTTTTTATTTCTCCGTGCAGGGCCTCCCTACTCTCTTCACATACATGAGGTGAGAGGTGAGGGACAAGAGCCTGTCTACAATTTATTCCCACTTGATTGTTCATTGGCCCAGTCTATCTCAGGATGTTGATAGAGGCACTTCTAGTTCTCCAAAACTTCAATACTGCATGATTGCCTCCCCTTCGCTGTCTCTTGGACTAGAAATCAGAACATTGGGGCTATTTGGTTTTATCTGTAGATTGATTTTGGATGATTCCATGCAGCAACAATCTATTAAGAACACAAGATATTATAGGCACAGTTCAAGGTGTAGGGAGGCAAAAGGAACAGCCCCAGCCTCTTCTTAGCCCCTGACACAGTGTCTGGTAGGTCAGAGCCTGTCCGTAGACGTGTGTTGAATGAATCACAGTTTTATTGCGTATTTGCTAAATACTGGGCACATTCTAAGTGCTTTGTGTATCCATCATTTATTTCATTCTTACATCAACCTATGAGATTCCTATTACGATTGTCATCATTACAACTTCATAAATGAGGAAAGAGAGTCACAGGGTAGTTGAACAATTTCTCTGTGTTAATATAGCCTAACTCCAGGTCTCAATGAGTGAAATTGGGTCATAAGCCTATGTTTGGGGAGTGGGAAGAAAGCTAATAAAATTTGTATCCAGGTCCCATGATAAAATTAGGCAGCATGGAGAAAGTATTGGATCTGAAATTTGGACAGTGGATAGAATTTTTTTTTTTATTGTGCAAATTTTCATTGAACTTTTTTGCGCCCTAATTTTTTGGAAGGGTGTTGCATATGCATCTATAAAATTTCAACAATACAAAAGGGCAAAGAGTGGACTGATCTCCCTTCCATTCCCCTTGCTGGGGACAACCACTGTTACCAGTTTCTTGTGTGTGGTTTTGTTGTTGTTGTTGTTGTTGTTGTTGTTTTTCAAATATCTGGGTCTGGTAGGTTGGATTTTTATGGAACTTGAAAAAGATAATTCCAGATGGAGGTGCAAATGTGAAATTAAAGGGTTTGGTTGCTTGGGGAAATGGCAAGTCACCTGCTCTACCTGAAACCTAGGATTCACAGCTAAGACACGTACCACCTCTTACCTGGCAAGTGGGGACAAGGGTCTCCATCATTTCCCCTATACAATACCTGTTAAGGGTGTTACAGAGATAAAGCACTCTGATTGTGAAGAGAGGAGGACTTGGAGTCCGTCTTCCCATTTGTTCATTCATTCATTCTATTCCATTTTATTGATTTACCTGGGCAGTAAGGACTCCCTGAGCTTCTGATGTGTCCCAGGTGGGGGTTAAACAGACACAGCCCCTACTCTTAGAAGCTTATAATTGAATAAGAATGACATCCCAACTCAGGAGCCTGAAGCAGGAGGATTCTAAATTCAAGCTCTACCTGGACAGTTTAGTGAGAGCCTGTCTCAAAATAAAAAATAAAAAGGTCTGGGAATATAACTCAGTAGTAAAGTACCCCTGGGATCAWTGCCCTGTACCAAAAACAAACAAACAAAAAAAATCTCTTTCATCAGGGATTAGGAATAGAATCCTACTGATAATTGTTTAAGAAGCAACCTTAGATAATTTATCTTTTCTTTCTAGGCCTAAACTTACCATAAGAACTGGGAGGCCAGTGAGTCCTGTCTCTTCTCTACCCAACCCCCACTACCACCAAATGCTATAGAAAGGTGTTAAAAGAACATGGGAGGTATCAGGGCCAGCCCTCCCTGCCCCCCACCCTCCCCCGCCAGAGTTRTCATCAGGTAGAATCCCATCTTGTGAAAGGGTTGCTGAATCCTACAGATTCCATTCAGGCCAGTCTTCATGGGTCCATGTGAATCACCGTCCTTCTGCAGTAGAATCACCCATGAAGGAAAGTGAGTTGGTGTAAACAACTGTAAATGTTTCCTCCCGACCCTGGTAGTAAACAGGGGCCGACTGAATCACAGACCCACTGGAAAACACTCGCTCATCAGGCAAGAGGATGTTCCAGGAGCAGGGACGCCACTTGAAGGGCTTTAGGAACCACTTTAAAGCTCCAGTCATTTTTCCACTTGTGCTTGGGTGGGGATGATCTCAAGCGCCCCCTCCGGACCTGGCCACTCACAGGTGCAGGAGTTATGTCATCGCTCTTTACGTGGGTGGTGAGGTGTTGAGGTCTCTTCCTGGCCACGTTTTGATTCCATTCCCATGTGTGTGAGCCACCCAGCCTGCCCTGTTGTCATCTGCACCTGCCCTTTTCTTTCTCCCTTCCCTAGTCCAGAGTCCACAGGGTTAGATGGGAGGAAGGGGGTGCATTGGAGACATTTGGGGGGATGAAGGGTGATGGTTTTAGACTAACAATAACTCTTATTCCTTTTTGCCCCATATRGAAATTGATCTAAAGAGATAAACAGTATAAAATCGACCAAAACATATTATGTATGGACAAATACGTGACAATAAATTCCACTATATACTATACATTATTCTTTTAAACACTAGACTCATACATTATTCTACTAGGTGTACTTATAAGGCACTCACAAAAGCTATTAAAAATCAACAGGGATTTTAATTTTTTAAAATCTCAGATACCTTTGAGACATAGCATATATATAGAAGTACTCTTGGAAAAAATGTACATATATTTATCTATGCAACTTTTTGTACACAAATTCAGGGGGTCTGTACTTGCATGGATTACTCTCAAGTATCAGAACTCAAGAGAGGACTCCCTCTCTGGTACTATTCTACAAGTGAGGTGTGTGACCACCAGAGAGGACACATTTTCTGGACAGTCAGGCATTCCTAAGTGTAGACGCATGCTTCCCAATGTATCCATAAAAACAAGAACCTAACAATAACCTTCTTCATCTAATCCAGCAAAGGGGTGAGCACTGTTTCGAGGATGAATATATTAGCAATATGTAAAAGAACAAATGTCTAATTGCCTCTCATTAACAATTATGCATCTAAACCCCGCTAATTCTGGTTTTACCCCAGGTGGCCCGCCATTTCTTTTTTCCACAATCATTGATCTCTAGTGATATTAGGTGGGCCCTTTGCTAGACAGTGTGACAATTTCAGAGCATTTTGGTACCAAGAATATTTTGATCAGTTTGCCCAATTTTCCAACAGCTCATCTTAACCACAGCCGATTGTGGAGGGGTCTCTTCTAGGTAGACACATTACTGAAGCAGTTTAATTTTATCAACTACAGCAATCTATGCTCTCTCTGAGTCACGGGGCTTCTTTTATGAACACTAGCCTATAGTTAGATTCAGTTACATACATGTTAGGTGAAGCTAATTAAGAGATTAATCAGGCAGTGTGGTTTTAAACATTCATAAATCGAACAGATATTTATTAAAAACCTACTGTGTGCCTGGCACTGTTGTGGATCATAGGGCCAAAATAGTGGCCTTAAGTTCTTCCTCTGGAGGGAACTGCATTCAAGTGGGGGAGAGAAAATGAACATATGTAACATCAAGTAGTGAGAAGAGCSATGAGAGGGCTGTTTTTGATACATGGTCACAGGAGATAATTTTTTCAGTAAGGACTTAAGAGAGCCAGGTGTGGTGGTGTATTCCTATCATCCCATTAATTCAGGAGGCTGAGACAAGCTTGAGGTTAACCTGAGAAACTTAGTGACCCTATCTCAAAAAATAAAATAAATTGGGCTGGGGATATAGCTCAGTGGTAAAATGACCCTGAGTACCGAAACCAATAAACATTCTAAAATAAAGTGAAGGAATGAACTATCCAGGCGCGTAGGGAAGAGATTTTCAGAGAGAAACAACAAAAGACATATTCTTGGCAAGTCTAAGGAACATATGAGCCATGGTGTCGTGAGAATGAGACGGGGCAGGAAATGGAAATAGAGCAGTACCAGGGGACCAGGTATGCAGAGTCTTTGAAGCTGCRTCAATCAAGGACTGTGACCTTCATTCTATGAGTGCTAGAAAGCTCTGGAAGTTTGAAGGAAGGAGAAAGAGATGAAATGGACCTGTTGTCCATTATGGAGAAGAGTTGGAAGATCATAGCAGTACCTAGTCTGTGATGATGGTGGTAGGATGGAGAAGGTATGAAGTCCTCAGATGTCAGACTTCTTTTGAAGTTAGAACCAATAGAGTTTTCTATTCAACTGAATGTGGAGTGGGAGAGAAAAAAAGGAATCAAGGATCGTTCCATTGTTTTGTCTGAGAAATTGGGCGAATAACAGTGTTTGCAGAAGAAACTATGAGATCAGGAGGATGTGTGCTGTGTTTTAGTTGCCTTCCGACTCCACGTGCTGATCTGTGTAGGTAGTGAAGAGCACAGAGAGGGGTCTGGGCTGGAAAGGGCGACTCTGCAAGCCTTGCAGAAATATGCCAGACTCAGCAGCTGAATGAGAAACTGGATGAGTGTAGGTAGAGAAGTCTGAGGTCTGAGCCCTGGGACACTGCAATACTTAGAAGTTGGATGAGCAGGAGATTCCCATCAAGGAAACTGAGAATGGTAAACCCATGAAATACAAGAGAAGTCATAGAAAGTGGTGGTTCAGGGACCAAAGGAAGAGAGTATTTTCAAGGAAGGAGCCATGAACTCTTTCAAGTGCTCCTGAGAACCCAGGGAAGATAAAGGAGAGTTGACTTGGCTTCCTGCCGTTGACAGTGACCTTGACAAAAGTGGTTCCAGTGAGTAAGTAGTAGGTTCCAGTGGGTCAGGGAAATGGGAAGGGAAGGACCTTCTATAAAGGAAAAGAGAGAAATGAGGAAATAGTTGGGTCTGGACCTGGGATTAGAGAAGGAAGTTTTAAGATGAGGGAAATTGCATGTTTGCCTGTTGTCCAYGGGAGGAAATAACTCAGGAGACAAATGATAATGCAGTCAGTGCAGCAATTCCAGGAGAGAAAGCCTCATCAGGAACGCAGATCATCCATCCAGGTGGGAAGGTTGATTTGGGATGCTAATAAATGGAAGTTTTTTGGGGTTTTTTTTTTTTTGGTGATCTTTTTGCCCAGTAAAGTAGAAAACAAGGTCATCAGGTGAGAGAGGAGGGAGAAAGACAGTTTGTGGGTTTGAGCAGAGAGGAGGTGTTAAATGATCAGCACTAGGATCCCTTGCCGTGGTTTGAAAGGTTTTTTGGTTTTGTGTGTGTGTGTGTGTGTGTGTGTGTGTGTGTTTTCTTTTGTTGTTGGCTCAGCTTTTTTGAAAAAGAGAATAAAATAATATCTCCCTCCTCAGCTTTATTAATCATCTCAGGGATTTTTGGAGAGCTAGGATTCCAGTTTGGACTCTGGACTCACCGTCGTCTCCCTAATTCTGAGTCTCTCCGATTTTTCGGTCTTCCTTGTCACTTGCCCTGATGCCTCTGTACTCTGGTTTCTTGGGCTCATGAGCTCAGAACCTCTTTCAGCGCTGCCACTTTTCATCCTACCWACCCAATGGCATTGAGAATTCTGGTAGAGAAACGAGCAGACCTGGATTCTAGTTCCTTACGAATGTGACTTCAGGGGAGTCATTTGCTTTATTTCTGGTTTAAGTACCTTAACTGTAAAATCTAAATTGATACTGTTAGTTAATACAATTCTATTGTAAGTCATTTTAAGATTTCCACTGAGCCAGGCACAGTGGTGCACACCTGTAATCCCAAGAACTGGGGAGGCTGAGGCAGGAGGATCACCCAACTGAGGCCATTCTCAGCAACTTAGTGAGACCCTCTCTCAAAATAAAAATTAAAAAAATAATAATAAAAGGGATAAGGATGTAGGTCAGTGGTGGAGTGCCCCAGGGTTCAATTCTCATTACCAAAAAAAAATTTTCCACTGAGATTTTTGAAATATYAATAGGATAGTGAGGTTCCTCATGGAAGTCCTTGTAGACCACTAAAGACCTTGCAACCCCAGGGATAGGTCGAGAGGAGTGGGGAGAACCTCAGCCTGTCATTCCTGATCCACAACATGATGCAATTCTCAAAGGCCCTCATCTTAAGGGACTCTCTTCTCCCTTCCACAGGTGGGGGCGTGATGAACTGCCCAAAGATTCTCTGGCGGTTGGGAAGTGATGTGGTGCTGCCCCTGACCAGTGAACGGATAAACAAAAGCATGAACAAAAGCATTCATATTCTTGTCACCATGGCCGAGTCACCAGAAAGCAGCATCAAGAAGAAAATAGTCTCTCTCGATCCATCTGAAAAGGGCTCTCAGAGTTACCTGGAGGATGGCTATCAGTTCCACCTGGAAAAYCTGAGCCTGGTGATCTTGGGCAGCAAGAATGACAGCGAGGGATGGTACTTTATGAGCCTGGAGGAAAACATCTCGGTCCGGCAATTTTGTGTGCAGCTGGAGCTTTATGGTAATGATGGGAAGATGGTCCCCAGCCCAAGAATCTGGGGAAGGGTATTCAGAATTGGGAGCAACTGGAAAGATCATCCAGTCTGAGGGGTGTTTAAACTGTGCTTCATGGAAGTGCTTTTAGAAGTGACAACTTTTTTTCTCCAAATTGTATGTTGGTGGTTGCTGGTTGGCCTTAGCCACTTTGACCCATTTCCAATGGAAAGGGGCCCCATCGCCTGTGGACTGGAGGGGTTGCACCCTAAGACTCTGGGTTTGCAAATAAGATTTTATTTAAAGAAAGAATTTTTCCTGATTTTTTTCAAAAGTTTGAATGCCACTGGTCCAACCTGACCTCTCATTCATTAATGAGGACACTGAAATCCAGAGAAGTGGTTTGCACATGCTTACACACGTCTGTGTAGGTGGCTCACTGCAGCATGGGTTCTTGATAGAGCTGAAATTCCGCCCACATTCTGCTCTCTCAGCCCTGTACCCTGGATCACACCTACATAATGGAAGAAGCACTTTTTTTTTTTTTTCCGCTTTTAAAACGAAAGCTCTGGTTCTAATGTCACTTAGTTGCAGAATTTAAACTAGAACTTAGGTTCACCTAAAGCCAAGGTCGGGGGATAGTTTAGCCTCTTTAACTACCAACCCTCTTGAACGCACCCAAAGTTTGTATTGCTTAGAACCAGAGGCTCACCTGAATTCCCAAAAGTCCCAAGCCCCATCTGGGGCTTTCCTGCTTCTATGAAGTAACTTCCTTATCTCTGAAGATGGAACAGGGAGCATTCAATGCTGGGTATCTAGAGGAGAGGCAGCAGTACCCTCTCCACCACTGACCCCAACCAAACCCGGACCTCCTCCTTCCCTTTTCTGAAAACAGGGCATGCAGAATTCCCAGAGCCCTCTTCCAGGTACCCAGGAGTCCTGGCCACTCTATGGAGGCCACGCATAATGCGTCCAAACAACGTACATGTCACGTACATGTCACGAGTACTGTCCTTTTGTTCCTCTATGTTTACTGCCTTTGGCCCATTTTGTGGTCAAATTCTTACGTAGGAAAATGTGGTCTCTGCACCCCTGGTCTTCCTCTCAAGTCCAAGAAAGAGGCTGGACTTTGGAGACAAGACCAGGTTCCAATCTTAGCGTAGCTTGCCTCCCCCCGGAAGCTGTGCAATATTATGTAAGACATCTCATTTCTCTGGGACTCAGTCTTCTCATCTATAAAATTGAAATAATTGTAACTCAGGTTATATATGTGTATATATGCACACATACATATTTATATATTTTTTTTCTTTCACCATCCTGGAGATTAAACCCTGGGGTTGTTCCACTGAGCTACATCCTCAGTCTTTTTTATTTTTATTTATTTTTTTTTATTTTGAGACAAGGTTTTGTTAAGTTGCTAAGGCTGGCCTCAAACTTTCAATCCACCTGCCTCAGCCTCCCAAGTTACTGGAATTAAGGGTATGTGCCACCATGCCTGGCCCTTGAGTTAGAATTGTTGAGAAGATTAAAGAGGATGATGGATGTGAAACCACAGAACTATTCTTGTCTTATAGTAGTTATAAATAAATAAGACTTTCCCTTTGGCCTTGCCTATTTCTTCATGGCTGTAGTGTGGGATAGATTGGTGGAGCCTACAGCTGTGATTGAGAACCTATCCCTACCTTAAGACACACAGAAACACTTGTCCTCCCACCTCTGGCCACCTCAGAAGATGAAATCCTACCACTAAAAACCAGTGCTTTTATGTCTAGGAGGTCATACTTCAATTAAAACCCATGAGTGATTAGTTGATGGCAAACTCCCTGATACAGGAGAACATTCTAGACCAAGAACATCAGGAAGAGCTGGGCAGGGTGACTCAGGAGGCTGAGGCAGGAGGATTGTAATTTCGAGGCCGGCATCAGCAACTAAGCAAGACTCTGTCTCAAAAACATAAATAAATAAAAAGGACTGGGGATGTAGCTCAGTGGTAAACCTCTGGGTTCAATCCCCAAGAAAAGAGAGAGAGAAAGAGAGAGAGAGAGAGAGAACACCAGGAAGGGCAAGTGTAGTCCCAACAGTATTGCCCACACACATTCTTCTCTCAGGAGAGGTAATACAAAATAATCATTGCCCACGAGAGATAAATCATACTGAAGTCCCATCAGAGAGGGTGAGAAACGTGTCATTAGGCTATACTTTGTTTTAACAAAAATGTCAAGAGAGAATCCCAAGGATTTCATTTCAGTGATGGTTCCCTTCTTCCTCCTCCACCTGACAGAGCAGGTCTCCACTCCAGAAATTAAAGTGTTAAACACAACTCAAGAGAAAGACAATGGGACCTGCAGCTTGATACTCTCCTGCACAGYGGAGAAGGGGGACCACGTGACTTACACCTGGAGTGAGAAGGGCACCCACCTGCTGAGCTCAGCCAACAGCTCCCACCTCCTGTACCTTACCCTTGGTCGGCAGCATGCTGACAACGTCTACGTCTGCACTGCAAGCAACCCTGTCAGCAACAGCTCCCAGACCTTCAGTCCAGGGCGCAGGTGCGGTTTCAAGTCCTCAGGTGAGTATGCTGGTGGCTGCCAGGGTGCCACGTTAATGAGTGTGGGCTCAGTCCCTAACTGGGCCAGTTGCTCTGCCTCCACAGCCAAGGTCTTCCCCTTGGCAACAGGGCTTTATATTTTCTTTATAGCTTGCAAATTCTCCACTGTGCATTCAGTGAACATGCTGCCATGTTAACCAGGGTGACATTATTACCACAGTTGAGGAAACCAATGAGAAAAGATGGAGCCAGACGCAGAACCCCGGTCTCTGATGTGAGATCCTTTCTCTCTGCCTCCTGTCCCGGGTTCAACCTACAAGGGTGGTTTAGGGAATGTAAGGGGACAGGTCCAAATCCCAAGCCCATGTCTTACTAATGGTGGAAYAGTTCTACACCATCAATAAGTGTTTATTGATCACCTATGCTATAGAAAAGTGGGAATAGATACATGATCTTTACTCTTTAGCAATGCATTGTCAAGATCAGATATAAAACATTTGCTCAAATAATGAAACACAGTATACAATAGAAGGCCTCATTTTATGGAAAGAATGAAGACTCTCACAGCAGGTTAAAAGGCCATGGGGATCAGAAAAAAAGTGGGACTCACTAAGGTCTGGACTGTGAAATTTGGGAACTATCAATAAATTGCATAGCATTATATGATTGGCAAAACACTTTCATCTGATTAATCTTCTTAGGCCCTTAAAATAACCTTGGCAGATGGGTGCTTGAAGATCATAGCATTTAAGTACCCACCTCAAGTTTCTTCAACCTGTAGATAGTGGAGTTAGCACCTAAACCTAGATCTTTTGATGGATCTTTTTGTAGAAAAAAAAAAAAAATTACCATCGTTCTGTTGGAAGAAAGAGCTGATTAAGTGCACCTAACCCCGTAGGAGCAGGATAGAACTCTGTCACTTTCCACCAAAGATCCTGCATCCCTGCCTCAGGCAGGTTCAGGGACAGAAGGAAYAAAGCACTGGCTCTGTGAGGCATTGCTAATCCCCTGACATTCTSTCCTCTGCATTCACTGGGGGGAAACAAGTCATTCTAAGGAGACACCTGCCCACAATAGACTTGCTGTCTATGCAGAGGTCTTTCCCAGMTGACCAGTGATGGGGAAAAGGGAAATCTAGTTACTTAGGCCCTCAACATAGCACTTCCTACAACAGAGACTCCCTTGGAGCATTCTTAGATGAATTACTGGGGAAAGAATTGCTGCTGTCTGGTATGCAACTGAGAGTTCTTTGATGGACCCAGTACAGTGAACGTTGCCTCTCCCAGCCATTTCATGACAGGTGTCAATCATCTGTCCACCTGTTAGATGTGTCTGACTGCTTGCATACAAATCMTATTCAGAGGCTATTCTCCCAGCCCAGATCTCTCTCCCTTATTATGGTCATTCAGAACACACTTGCAGGAMTAAGCACAGAGTTGCATARTGGGAACTTTGTAGAGCATGTTCCCAGATGGCCCCCATCTGATGCTGTCCTTCCTGCTTACAAGGGTAAATCATYCAACCTCCCTTAGACTTCTTCATCTATAAATAATAACTACTAACAGGTCTTAACTGCTTCCTATTTTTACAGCCATGAGATAATATAGGTAGTATAACTATGTTCACCTCACAGATCAAAATTAAAAAGGTTAAGTGAGGTCACACACAAAAGTGAAGGACCCGGGTGGTCTGATCCTGGAGTCCTCACAGTTATTAGTGGAAGAGAGAATGCCCTTAAAATGCCATATATGCCATAATTAAAAGGTGTTTTTGGTTGTGAGGGAGAAGTAGCCATTTCCCCAGCATAGGCCTCTCTGGTTATAATAGTCTAATGAAAGACAAAACACCCCACCCTCCCCCAAATGGGGGAGAACTCTTTTCATGCTTCTCACTGTGGTTTAACAATGATTTAACCAAGTTGGCCAGACATGGTAGCGCCACCTGTAATCCCAGCTACTGGGGGTCTCAAGTGAAAGTCTAGCCTGGACAACTTTGCAAGACCCTGTCTCAGAATAAAAAAAAAAAAAAAAAAGAAAGAAAGAAAAAGAAAAGGCTGAGGATGTAGCTCAATGGTAGAGAGCCCCTGGGTTCAATCCCTAATATTGAAAAAACAAACAAACAAAATGGTGAACTGGTGAGGTTCCATCCAGAGGTGATAGTCTATGATTCAGTGTGTCCACAAGAACTATTAATAAAGGGTTGCCAAAGTGTCTTGGTTTKCTGGGGCTGCCAAAGCAAAGGGCCACAAATTGGATGGTTGAAAATATTGAAATTTATTGTCTCATGGTTCTGGAGGCTAGAAGTTCAAAATCATGGTGTAGGCAGGTGTGACTCTTCTGAGGCCTCTGGTCTCGGCTTGCAGAAGGTTGCCTTCTCACCCTGTTCACACATGGTCTTTCCTTTGTGCCTGTGCATCCTGGTGTCTCTGCTTATGCAGATTTCCTCCCCAAAGGACTCTAGTCAAGTTAGACCAGAGCCCACACTAATGACCTCATTGAAACTTAATCACCTCTGTAAAAACCTTATCCCCAAATACAGTCACATTCTGAATTACTGTTCAGAATTACTGCTTCCACATATGAGATGGGTGGGGTGAGAAGCACAATCGAACCCACAACATCACCCTAATGGACTTATCTTTTTAACTTGATTATCTCTGTAAAGACCCTGTCTCCAAAGAAAGTCACATTCTAAGGACTACAACATATGAATGTGAGGGTAACACAATTCAACCCATAAAACGAGTAGTGATCCTCCCCATCCCCCATCCCCCAGAGACAGGGCATCACAGCACACCACATCCAAACCAGGTCACACAGCTGGTTTGCCATATGCTCTTCCCATCACACCAGGTTGCCTACATCACTGAAAACGGTTTTATTGGTACACTAAATTGTGTCTGCAAAGGAATAGTACTAATTTTTAAAACACTGTGCTTAGTTTAACAAAACTTTTCTTGAGGTTTTRACTATGTCCCAACATTGTGCAAGGTGCTGAGCACACAAAGATTAAAAGACACGATCCTTATCTTTAAGGAAGGAGGTAGTTCTCTAAACAAATAATTATCYGAGGTTATATTGTATGATAATTGCAAAACAGAAACATGTACAAGGCAAAGAAGAGGGAAGGGAAAACACCATCTCAAGGGATCAGAGAACACAAAAGAGACAAAAATGGGTATTGAAGAATAAAAAAAATTAACCATGCTGTCCAAAGAGACTCCAGGCAGGGGGAAAGCAGATACATCAGGGACTTGCTGTATATGACCCTGTAGGTGATAGGTTCTAATAGCGTTTTAGATGGAGGAGTAGCCATTCAGTTTTGAATTTCAAGGATAAAATTCAGTGGAACAGACTGGGGTAAAAAAAAAAAAAAAAAAAAAGGCAGAAGAAAGAGGAACTAGTTATGGGTGGGGGAGGGAGGCATTATCGCAGTCATCCATCACAAGAGAATCAGGCCCCGGCCAAAACAGTGACTGTCGGTTTAACAAAGACTTTTTCATAGTGTGTTCAAGGGGAAAATCTAGCTTTGGSATTAAATGGTGGTGGGGTTTGTGGGTTTATTAGAGGTTGCCATCTAATAATTAAGATCCCRACTCTATAAGACATTTTCTACTTTCATTAATGAAAAACTCAAAAGTTGTTCACAGTGCCATGAGACCAAATGGGACTTGATGTCAGCACTGTCTTTTGACAGGACTCAGTTAAAGTAAACCATGCAAGAACATGTTTGTATCTTGAAAAAATATTAAAGTGACATTTATCCATGATCTTAGTTATACATCCAACCACCCTGTTCCAATTCACTGCTTTAGTGAGGAACACTTTAATGTTTATTATTAATGAGGCATCTTTATTGCAAAAATCCAAATCCTTGGGTGCTACAAGATCCTTTGTCAAGGTCACGTGAAGCACATTGAGGTGGCTCAACAGTAGACAGTGTGTGACTTGCTGCTGACCTAATTTGCCATATTTTGAAATAGTTCTATCTGTGCTAGGATGGTTGCTATAAAACCCTAAACAAATCARCTAAAAGGGAATGTCCCCAGATGTTCATCTTGAAAGGGAGAACTTTTTTAGGAGATTAGCAAAATTGCTGGCTTAGCAAATCTGATTAACCCAGTGGAAGAAAAGAGAGACACTTGCCAGTGAGCTTTACAGGGTCCCCTTTAAGCCATTTCTTCAAATATGGAGATATATATATATATATATATATATATATATATATATATATATAGAGAGAGA